CAATCATCCAACCAGTCTATTGCGGCGAAGGTGTCCACATTCTCTCCGTCAGCATCAAACTTCAGGGCAGCTACATAGATCTGTACAACATTTATAGACAGCACGATGGTGGCCTAGACATGTCTCCCTTCTTTGGTTTAATCAGCCATTGTGACTTAGTAATAGGAGGCGACTATAATGCGCACCTTCCAAGATTCAGGTATGAGTGCCCCTGTCCTGCAGGTAGACACATCATGAGCCTGCTGGATGACCAAGAAGATGTCACCCTGCTCAACAACCATGAGCCAACTCATGACAGAGATGGCATACTGGACCTCACCTCCGTCTCCAACTCTCTAAAACAAGACGCCACTTGGAGAGTTCACCCCCTGGTCACGAGTGACCATTACGGGATCCACCTTACGCTGCCAATTCCTGAAATCTTCCAAATCCCTGCTCCTCCCCCTCAATGGAATTTCAAGAAGACTGACTGGGGCCAATTCCAGGAGCACCTCAGTAATTGTTATTCAGCCTACACACCACCTAGAGATATTGACCAAGCTGAGGATGTGCTAGTCAATGCCCTGCAAGCTGCAGCAAACTCTTCTATTCCCCTCTGCAAACCACAATACGCTACTCATCGTGACAGGTGGTACTACTGTGACAGAGTCAAAGAACTCAATCACCGGCTCAATGACACATGAAAAACGCACAGAAAACGTTGCACTGACGGACTCCTATCTCACTCTCCAGGCAGTCAAAGAACATGACCATGAAGAGACACGTGAAATCAAGAGGAAATTATGGTGTGAGTGGTGTTCCACCCTAGATGCTCACACCTCTGTGGGCCAGATGGGGAGGAACCCCCTCAGGCAACTGAAGAACTCTCCGCCATATTCATGGAGAGGGCAATCTCCAACCAGTTTCCCATCACTAATAGAACAACTTTTCAGGGAATTACTGCTGCAGCATGGGATGAAATAAAATAAGCCATCAACACCGATGACCAAACAGATGCCTCCTTCACTCTGACTGAACTACAGAAAGCAGGTAAAAGCTCCAAGAACACAGCCCTAGGCACTGATAGAAACACATACATGATGATTCAGAATATGGGGCCCTAAGGGGAGCTTGCTCTACTCTCTCTGATCAATACGTCATACGCACAGAGAGTCAGACCAGCCTCGTGGAACAGGGCAAACATTCAGCCCATTTCAAAGCATCAAGATCTTGACAACCCACGCCCCATCTCCCTCTTAAGCTGCCTGAGCTATGGCAGAAAAGATGGTGCTCAACAGAGTTCGCTGGAAGTTCCCAACCTTCCACGAAAACATATTCGCCTATCAGCCAGGCCTAGGTACCTCAGAATGCATAGCCTCCATGCTATCATACAGCAATATTCATCATGGATTCATCGTTTACCTAGACCTAGAGAAAGCCTTTGAACTTGCCAACGTGCTGGCAATACTCTCAGCTCTCGTTGCAAAGCAGATCAAAGGAAACCTTCTCTCCTGGAACAAGCTGAGCCTACAAAACTGTAGTGCTCGACTCAAAGTTCAAGGGCACTATTCCAACTACAAAAACCACGAAAACAGGACCCCCCCAAGATTGAATTCTTAGCCTCTTCCTCTTTAACTGTCTCATAGAAAAAATCATGGACATTGCACTACAATAAGGAGCCAATATCTTCAGTTATGCAGACGACTTTGTCACAATAGGTGACAGGATCTATTACAAAACCCAGCGCTGCCTCACCATGATACACCAAGCTTCCATCTTCCTTGGACTTAAAATTAACTCCCGTAAAACCAAGGCACTCCCTATCCACCAATGGAGACCAGACTCTAGACTGGTTATAGGCAATGAGCCTCTGAACTGGGTTACCAAGCACCCTTACCTGGGTGTATACAGCGATGGCTGACTAACCCTTCGGACCTGAGATTCAACACTTGCATGACAAATGCAAGCTGTGCCAAAACTTCATTCGTCGTATGTTGGGCCTCTACGACGTTCATTCTTTAGTCTCCTCAAAACCTTCTATGCTCAAGCCATACGAAGTCTCATAGGCTATGCTTGTCCCACCTCTTTGGCTACTGAAAGATTGCCAATGGGACAAGATAGAGTTCATACAAAATAACGCCATGTGTACCATGCTAGGGGCCCCTATGTGGACCAATAGAGAAAACCTCCAGCTGGAATCCAGCCTCATGCCATTCAAACTAAGAGCTCTACAAAGAAAAACCCTCTCAGTGGCCAAAACCACCACTTCTCAACATACCTGCCTCCTTGGCACCGACTTCTGGCTAGCCCTCAATTGCCACCCCAGCCGACATGCTAGAACCTGGGCAGCCAGGGTCTGTGCTGGCCTGCAAGCATTGACAGTCAGGGAAGACATCCTAGCCAAGATACAGGACAGTCCGCTCCCTGAATACCGATGCCCTCCTCCATTGGACGACCAGCTGCTCAACATAAAGTTCAAGCTGCCGGACAACCCCAAAAGCTCAGTCAACCCACTTACCCTTAAGAACACATACAAGGATAAAACTTAGAGCTGGATTAGGCCAAACTCCCAAATTTTCTACACTGACGGCTTAGTCAATCAAGAAATTGGAGCCTCAGCGGCCGCCTTCACCACTGAAAACCACGTAGAATCATGGAGGCTGTCGAATTCTTGCTCCTCGTTCCAAACTGAGCTGGTTGTCATAGCCAACACCCTCAGTTTCTTATCTTATTCTCTCCGGCTCCAAAGGCACCTTACAGGCCATCAAGAAGCCACTCCTCAAAGACAATGTATGAATCATCACCAGCATTATCAACCTCTACCACAGGACAGTCAGCATTGGAAAAGCCGTCACTCTTGCGTGGATTCCCAGCCACATTGGCATCAAAGGAAATGAAGAAGCAAATCAAGCCACCAAACAAGCCTCTCTCCATGCATAAATCCAAATATCTCTGCCTCCTGGGATTAACCAGATCAGAACCAAAGCTTGTAGGTCACTCCTTAACCTCTTGCTATCTAGACACAACTTGTGCACTGACATCGGTTATCCCTCCACCTGGTGGTACAAAGCCATCACCAATCTCCAGCAAATCACTCTGCGCAAGAACCTCCGAAAAAGCACGGCGGTCGACGTGTACCGTCTGAGAATCGGTTACAAGTGCACCTGGTGAATAGATGATCTCGTCAAGGAGTACACCTTCTGCCAGGAAGCCTCGCCACACGTACTCCTCCACTACATTCTTGAATATGGAGTCTATTCTGAAATTCGACTGAAGACTAGTGCCCTGTAACATCCAGCATTTATCCCAGTGCCTTTCATGTTGGTAGCTCCATAATTAGAATAGCAACAAATAACTTCAAGGACAGCCCAATGTGCACCATCAGTCAGTAACATCCGCCTAGATTACTGGGCAACAACGCATGCTCATTATTAAAACATGAGCTCAAGAGGTTGAGAACTAGTTCCTCAACCTCTCCAGTGTGAGCCCAATAACGCTGGTGTGGTTCCATTAATGCAGCCTTGTCCTTTCTGGTCATCAGCAAGTCCCCTTTTGTATATCATTTTTCTTTCTCTTCCGCATTTTGTTCATCCATTTATTTTCTATTTTTATATCATAAACTTGTTTTTGTCTGAATTCACTTACCCTTCCCTCCTGGTGGTCCTCTAGGGGTTAAAAGCATGCATGTGGTACCATCACCTCTACCTTCTTCACCCCCTCTTCCTCTGAACATGGCATCTTTACAGATCTTAAGCAGTCCCACTTGCGGGCCAGAAGAAAAGGCCCGGCCACACACATGGGAAGATATTGACACACACAAGAGCACCATCGTCTTTTTCAAAGAGGGTTCCATCTATCAATGCTTCTTCATTTCCGCGACGATGGAGGTTTGAAGCCTCCAAAAGCTCACACTCCAAGTCTTCAAGAAACTTGTGTCGAAGAATCATTTATGGAGTAAATGATTGTTACTCTTCAACTGGGATATTCAATGCATGGTGTTTCTTCAAGACTTGTGTATATTTTGCAGTTTTCTCCGATGCCTTTTGTGAATACTGGATGTCAGGAGATTCCCTTCCTTCAATACATATCACCGGATTCCTCGGTCAGGTACCAAGGAACAACAAATTTTAAGCACTAGTTATCGAAGATTTACTCTTGGAAAAAATACTTTACCCCTGTGTAGGCGGAGCTTCCCAACCATCCTCTTTTTCCAAGAAGATTCCATCTACCAATGCTTCTTCATTTGCTCGACGATGGAGGCTTGAAGCCTTCGAAAGCTTGCACTCCAAGTCTTCGAAAATCTTGGGTCAAAGAATCAATTGTGGAGGACAAGATTGTTACTCCTCAACTGGGATATTCGATGCATGGTGTTTCTTCAAGACATGTGTATATTTTACAGCTTTCTCCGATACCTTGTGTGAATAATAGATGTCCGGAGATTCCCTTCCTTAAATAAAATATATATATATATATATATATATATATATATATATATATATATATATATATATATATATATATATATATATATATATATATATATATATATATATATATATATATATATATATATATATATATATATATATATATTTTACCCCTGACCGGGACTCGAACCTAAGATGCATAATTACTTTGCCAAGGCACTACAACTACACCACTGAGGGTCTAAAGAAAAAGCAAACCGCATTACTGCTATACTAGGAATGAACGCATTCCTTCTGAATGTCATTTTGTTCATATTACCGCTTCTTCTAACCAAAGTTGTTGTTTCGTTTGCATTTAATTAAATCCCAAGCTATCTAGGTATCAATAATAATCAATTAAACACATTAACATATTTGAAAACATGAAACATATCTTAATTTGTTTATATGATATATATATAATATATATAAATATATATATATATATATATATATATATATATATATATATATATATATATATATATATATATATATATATATATATATATATATATATTTATATATATATATATATATATATGAATCATTTTT